TAATTGCGCTTGCGGTTTTTAACAAGAAGTCGAAAATATCACTTTTTACCAAAAATGACAAAAATATTCACCAAAATTAGAGAATTGAAGATATCAACATGAAATGAACAAACCTAAGAGAGGTCTACCCAAGGTACATATACACCAAGTATCAAAGCATTCAGGATTGTAGTTTTCAAGAAGAAGTCGAAAAAGTAAAACATTGACACGGACGACGACAACGGACGACAACGACGGACAATCACTCATATGATAAGCTCCGCTCGACAAAGTCGACAGCGGAGCTAAAAAGAAACTCATGTACTAATTTTCATATATATATATATATATATATATATATATATATATGGATATCCTCTATATATTCTATAAACATATGCCAGAGTTCAATACTTACAGATTATCCAGATTAATACAATAATCAAACGCTGTATCCGGGATGTAATCGATAACATTACCAGACAAATCTAAGGTGTTCAACTGAGTCAGGTTGTAGAATGGATTCTCGTGAAGGAAATGAAAGCTATTACTTCGCAGTTTACTGAAAATCATAGATAAATAAAATTATTCATGCAATTGTGTGGGGAGTTAAGGTATAAAAATACATGTGCTTCTGACAGAGCAAATACAGTAATGGTTTTACAAACTGTTGTTATAAAAGACGTATAAATGTACAAAATTGAGAAACGATGACATCTTTCAATAGACTATCAACACATCAAGTGGTTTAATATAAATAAATGGTAGTACATAATTTTAGTAAATTTTTGAGATAACTAGACATATCAAGCAAAGTACTCTTTACTCAGGTATCTGAATATTCATTGATAAAGGGTACGTATGAGGGATTGAGGTGTGCACAAATACAATGGAATGACAACTTACATGGTTTGGATATCAGCAGGGAATGTTTTGTCTTCAATTGATATGATATCATTAGAGCTCAGTCTCAAGACCTCCAGGGTTGTTAATGCTGTGAATGTTTCAGCCAATAAAAAAGTCAGTTTGTTACTGTCCATGTACCTAAAACAAAAGATTTTTGTGATTATAAGGACGCTTGATATTTTAGCAATAAAACATGGCAATATTATGAGGTTATCATCTGTTATATACCACCATAGGTGTATGTTTGTTGATATAAGAGACATCACAAACTGAATGTAAGAACATACTTTTCACACACATAAAATGATGACATTTAACATAAATATTGTGAAGTGTTTAATTACCATACAATATAACTGGTGAATTATTCACATGAAACATCACAACTTTGAATAATATGCATGTGATCATGTGACAAACCATACATCTCAGTGTTCCACACCAGATTGATTGTTTCAAAGACTATGACCACTATTCTTAGGAGTTAACATCTGGGTATTTTCAATGCCTGGCAACCACCACGATGAAAACAAAAAAAGGGCAAAATCTCTCAGAAAACTGTACTTTGGGTTGTTGGGTAACAAGATTACCCCTACATGTACAACATATACAGATTTGGTTGCTCAGGATTACTTCAACTTCGACTTTAGCTGTTTTCATGGCTCTGGTGTTCCACAGCAGCTTGCATAGAGCCCATAGAAATACATGGTATAGTGGTACAAGTCTTATCAACGTTATATTACAACAAGAAAGGACATAGACTTAAAAAGGACACACATCTTTGTACTCTTATATCACAACATTTTTTTTTACATGACTACCATATATCAAACATGCACATGGCAGATGAAGCAGTGAAAGTCTGACATTTGTCATTGTTTGACTTACAGGTTTCTGATGGATGGTAGTGTATCGTTAGTGACAACAGCTTCAGGTACATACTGGAATAGATTGTTGTTCAGATTTCTAGAAACAGAAAAAAGACAAAGATAGCGAATAATTTGTCCTCATCCATATACACCATTTTGACGTCACAAAAACATTCCATCACTAGAGTGTGTACTTTCTTGGAATGGTGAATTGCATCAACAAAGAACTTACAAAACACGACAGCTGGCATAGAAGGGTACAAAATAGAAAACGCCACATTAGCCACTTGTTTTCTTTTCAGTTTTTCTGTGTGTGTACGTTTTTGTTTCTGTAAATTATTATGTTAATATTGTGTGGAAAATCAAAAAAATATTATAAATGAAAAAATACAAAGACATTGCAAAAGGTTTAAAATGTTGCACCAAAATGCTGGCATAAAAATTCATTGTGCTCAAACTTACAACGTTTCTAACGTAGGTATACAAGCAAATGCATCATCATGAAGATTGGTCTCATCTAAATAATTGCCTTCAAGAAATAACACCAAGATGGATTCCAAGTTACATAGGTATGTATCGTTGATATGGTCTATTGCATTTGCACCCAAATATCTGAGAAAAAATAATAATATATTATCAATATGCAAAAGATAATAATAATGAAATTAGATCACAATAGTTGGTAAGCAGCAAAAGTTTGAATTTTATGTAAACAAACAATGTTGCATAAGTTGCATGGGACTCAAGTCGAAAAAAAACATGTTTCAATGACTATGTCTCTTATTTACATTTCCAAAGTTGTATTCCCACTTCGTAAATGTGTAAAACATCACTCTCAGAACAACTATAAAGTGTTAGTTTTTTACCGATCACTGGTAGCATAGTGGTTGTTGCATCAGACTCATAATCGGTAGACCCAAGTTCAAATTCTACCTTAGGCTGAACATCAATAGGGTCGACCCCTACCCTGGGTGAGTGTGCCACAGACTCAATGGGAAGGCCTATTCCACTGGCCGAGATTCATTCACTAATGAATGCGACTTTGGGGGAACCTTGGTTAAGGTCCACAGGTGGTTGACGCCAGGATAGCGCATTAAATTGCCATTTGATAGAGAAATGGCCGCACAGCCCTGTCATGTGTGTAGTCCCAAATCATGAATATGGCTTCTGTGGCAAAAATGCACTATATGTCAGCACTTGCAACTTGCACATACAAAAAAACGTCAGGAGAGACAACAGTAACATTCAATGTCCAGAGCTGTTGTCGGGCACAACAAATATTTAAAAAAAAGTGTTTAATGAAATAATATTTAATGTAGGTAGATATCTTGCTCCAACGATCTTGAAATTGTTGTTTTGTTGTTGAGACTATTGGAGGGTCATATGCCTTGGACAAACACATATAACTGATCTTCAAGGACAAACAAAGCCTGCTAAATTAGTGTGTGTCTGTTTTTCACAAATCTAGCTTCTTTTAGAACTGCTTCAATTCATATTTTACAATTAATTTTACCCATCCACAATCTATACATTTGATGGCGTATTCATGTACACATTGATAAGGAAATGGTGTCGCACACATTTGCAAAATGGGAATGCAACTTTAAGAACACATGATTTAACAAAGAATAATATTGTGATGGGAAAGTTATACAACACTCATTGTACACTATTGTGTTCATATGCTTAGGGACAACATCAAAAGTTCAATGTAGGATAACAAACTTAATTTCTTCAGTTTTTTCCCAAACCCCCACTGAAACTTAATTGATAAATATTGATCATAGTGTCAGACTACATTCACCATTAACTACAAATTGATAATCGAACAGTAGTATGACAGGGCAGTTGGTTGTCGGGGGAGGGGGTGTAAAAAAGGGGGAATATATGCATACGCAAACGACTTTTATGGGTTTTGCGCATGCTCTAGGTCCATGCCCTGAAATTGACCTCATTTGACGCACATATTTACACTTGGACCAAACCATTTTCTCGTCTTGGATGTGTTTTTTTTCATTTTCTGTTATTATTGTCCACGATTGGATAGAAAAAAAACGAACTACAAGTACTCCAAGATTTTTTTGACTTCATTAAAAAAAAAAATCGTTTTTGTAGGATGGGAATTTTTTGACGTCAAAACCCACCACACCAAACTAAAGCAAATAAATTTATATCCGACATCGATCTTTTGACGTCATCCCTTATATGACAGGTTTTTACTCACAGTTCCAAGAGATTAGGCATGGATCCAAAGTGTTCAACTTGTTCCTTCTTGACATTATAGTACACCAAAGTTGTAGCTGTGTACTGATCCTCTGAATATGTGGTAATATTACTTATTTGATTACCATCAGCGTGTCTGTCAAATAAACAAACAATTTACCATTATCAGCACATAGAAGAATTCACTAAGAACACAAATATACAATTGTACATAGAGGGCGCTGTCTGACTTTCACAGCTTGAGTAAACTTACAGGTACTTTAAACTGTCATAAGAATCTCCTTCAAATACTGCATGTGGAAAGTATGGCAAGCTATTGTCACTGATAAATCTGAAAAGTTAAAAAGAATTACAGTAAGATCTACTATCAGCTTTGTCCACAGAATTTAACAAAAACAACAAAAACTCATCTCAGAACATAAACTCCAAGCAAAGTTTTCATGGCAGGCAGTTCACTCTACTCAAAATTGCTGGTTCACCATCATTACATAGTCAAAGCAGTACTGGAATCAGTTTTGTGAAAATGGTTTACACAAGCATAGTCCCCGAAATAATCATCTGTTGCAGATGCGCTTCTAATGCAGCAATCACAACCAAGAATTTAAAAGATGTGGGAGCACAACTGTTGATATATAATTTCTGAGTACTAAATCATGCAAAATTACGAGATGATCACAAATCTGAAGACATACATGCAGTCCTAGAAATATTTAAGCAAATGAGACTGTGAAAGTACTGAATTTTCATTTCAGGTTGGTTTTCCTTTTTTTATAAGTGTTTTGTGTGTTTGAATACAAGTAAAATCTCACTCATTTCTGTTTGTGTAATCAAAGTTTTCCAAGAATTCAAGTTCTGAGATGCTGTTTGTTCAAAGAGATATGTACGATTGACATAATATTTTCAGCACATATCAGTACATTGATATTTAAGTTGCATACCCTTATCACAACATGATTAAAAAACGATGTAGTGTATTAATTTCATGTGGTTTTAAAAAAAAACAATAAAACACTGTCAATTCAGTAAATGAAAATCTTGTCTTCAGCCTTCTGTGACTATACTCACAATTATCATACTCATAATGTTGTTATAAGTTATACTCACAATGTGGTTAGGTCATTGGAGATTCCTTCAAATGCATCATACTTAATAGTTGTCATCTGGTAAGGGTCCTTTTGTGAATGTAAAATCCTAAAATAAAACATTTATCAAATATATAGTTTGTTACCATGGCAGCTTAAAACCAAAATTGTACTAAGGTGACTGCTGGTGAAATGAGTGTGGTTAACACTGACCAATAAAATTAATGTGACAAATTTCTTGGATGAAAAAATCATAATATATTAAAAAATATTGTTAAATTATCATGAAATACTTATTATTACTTAGTATAGCAGTTTTGTAACATTGACCCTGTTCAATCTTACTCATTGCCAGACGAGTTTTCACAGATACATGTAGTGAGTCTCCATGATGGTAACAAATATTATTACCCGGTATACATCTGTCACCATAACGCCATAAGTTACAGCGTGCCGTAATTTTGCGGTATTTTACAGGGTATTTTCATCCTACCATATAAGGAAATGGAAATTCCAAATATGTAATGATTATGTATGTAAGCATCCTCTAATAATAGAGTTCATTGATTCTGTTCTAAACTTTTTGGATTTCGGCATTCCTATGACGTATCCTTGGAAGGAAAAGATGTATAATAATAAAGTTATGAGGATACCTCAAAGTATGCACTCAGACAGTACTTCGTCGCATCGACTTCAGCTGCGTCGGTCGATATTCTTGCTATACTGTCTTTGTGCATACTTTGAGGTATCCTCATGATAACCTCATATACTTACAATGTTCTCAGTATTGGTAAGTTGGTAAATGACTTGCTGGTAAGCACTTGCAGATTATTATGATTCAAATCCCTGTCAAAAAATCACGTAGAGATATTAATTTGCAGTAACCTTCATAATAACAAGCACAGCATCTCTCAGGAATGCCGGGCAGAGTTCACTAAGTACTGTAAAACACATTGAAATAGCTACATGCCATTTTAGTGAATTTGACTCAATACATGAATTAACAAAATCTTAATTTAGCTAAAGTGCCAATAATCTCATTGTGAGAATATACTTCATTCTAAATCAGCGACATCTTGAATTAGCGAAATCACAGGTTAGCTAAAATGACGTGCTAACTAAAAGGAAGTGTTTTACAGTACATTTCACATATCAAACTATTTCTACTATGACAACCTATCAATAATAAGTTTTACTTACAAGTGTAACAAACTGGGTATGTTATCAAATGTCTTCCAAGGTGTACTTTTCAACTCATTATTATGGAGCTCACTGTTGATGAAAGTATAATTATAGTAAATCATTGGGTTAGTTAGATCCCAACTACTGTACCATGCAGACAATTGAAAGAACTTGGCTAGAAAATTAATGTTAAAAGTTTTTGTGCATGTTGTCAATGCTATTTTTTTTAAACACTTTTTTGACCAGAATCATGCAATTTTTTTAATACAAATGTACTTGTGATAGAGGAAAGATATGAGAATCTAATATGAATCCAAAAATCTAACATGGCTGGGCAGTTTCCACCAGTCAGATTGCAGGATTGCTCAGAGAATTTGAGAGTAAAGTGAATGTTTATCATTTGTAATCAACATCGGAACATGTGGAACTTATAAACAATATGTTTGACGTGTTATGACCTATACCTTGCACATATATATGTATTTACTTACAGAATCGCTAAATTATCCAGCTGACTCAGCGCTTTTGTGGATATATAATTGATGAGATTATTACTCAAATTCCTAGAATTAGAAATAATATTAATTGGAAATTAAGAACAATTACAATTTGTTAACACCAATATTATATTCAGTCACGTAAAGTTTACGTAAGTTTATGTAACGCCAGACAAATATAAAGCAGTATCTTTATGAGCGCATGTCAATATTTGAACCCATGTTTGTGGGAAGAAGCCAGTTTTCTCAGGCTGTCAATTTTGAAACATACAGTTGTAGGAGACACAGTCATTGTGATGCATGGTTCCATTTTGTGTAAACAAACAATGTATTTTACACACATTGGCACGGGACCCATATCAAACAACAAACTTTTAACTGATATTTTTATATTAAATTGACATCATGGTTGAGATATAATCCAATAAAAATGAGTACCGTAAAATCTGTATTAGAAGCCACATTCCTAATAGAAGCCGCACCCATTCTTTTTGAACAATTGAGACCCCAAAAATAATCATTTCTCATATGTATAGATGCTCTAATAGAAGCCGCTTCCCCTATGTTGCATTGTACCACTTTAATAGAAGCCGCAGCTTTTACAGTACTAATTCTCAAAGAAAAATAGCAATAAACTATAAAAAATATTTATAAACATGCATGAAGTAAGAACTCTGATCCTTATCTCATCATGAATTGGAAGTGGTGGAAAACAAAGTAACAATACATAACAAGTTATTTCAACATTGCATATACTCACAGGTGTTGGAACATTGGACTTATCAGAACAGCTAGGTTCTTTCTGGTTATCCTCTCAATAGCATTATCATCCAGAGATCTACAAATAACATAATATTTTACTTTTTTACAGGTTTTGTTCAGGGATGTCCACAAAATAGTAAATTTATTTTCCTGTCTGTCAGTCTGTATGATTATTTACGTGTTTGTTTTTCTACGAGGCAACATTTCTGACTACATCCTTGAAACGGCATGATAAGTTTGTTGCAGAATCATGGATTTCAAATGATTAGTAGATAATACTTACAAAAATATCAAGTCATTCATGTTTTCCAGGGCAGCAGATGGAAATCTTGGGATATTATTCATGCTCAGTCCACTGAAATTAAAATATTGGGTAAATTAATAATATATTCATAAAGAAAAACACTGTCCAATTTTACTGAAGCAATGAAACCCATCTATGTTTGTCCTACGAACCTGTGCATGATAGTGTTATAAAGAAAAGGTGTATTTGACCTCAGTTAAATTGATTGATTTTAATGGACATGTCAAGAAGCTGGATCCATCAATTCATCAATCAGTGTTGCTGTAACAAAAACTCAAATCAATTTCAACCAATAAATTGTGTCGTCTTATATCATGTCATAGCTTAACTGACTTCACATTTGATTTCCCATGACAATACATCATGCATGACTTTGTGTTCTATTCACCATGGAAACATGACATTGTGTTTGATTACTTTGACAGTGAATACATGTTTATTGCTAAAATTCTTTTAAGGTATAATGGTGAATGGATGGCCAAATAAATGAGCCTTGGCTGATGAGAATGAAAGAACAATAAGTAGTAAGCCCCTGAAATATATTTCAATAATAATCTTCTTGATCAATGACCACATGCTGATGAAGAGGATAAATATATGATGAGGAACAAAGGGGGTATAAAAGTTGAAGACAAGGAAGATGAGCATTTATATAGGAAGATGAAGAGGGTGGGAAGGAGGAAAAGAAGGAGAAGAAGAAAGAACAAAATAGGAGAAAGATGGTGAAGTAGGGTAAAAGATGAGAAAAACAGAGAATAAACAGGGTGAGGAGGAAGTAGAGGAAGAAGAAGAAGAGAGGAGAAGGAAGGAGAGGAGAAGGAGGATGGAGAAGGAAGAGGAATAGGGTGAAAAAGAAGAAGAAGAATATGATGAGAGAAAAGATATGGGGGGCACAGGATGTTATTATACTTACAGATATTCAATATTAGTATCACTAAATAGACCATCAGGAACCCAATCTATGTTATTTTCCATTAAACTCCTACAAACAAACAATAAACAGTAATTAATTTTGTTTAGCATAATCTGGCGATGTTCAGAATCGTCAAACAACTTGAGGAATGATTTACATGATTATACTATAAATTGACCTAACCAATCTAGCCAACATTTTGATAACATTTTTATGTTAATTTTGGATCAAAATAACATAATTTCTTATCATCAACAAATCCTGATCAAATTTTTTTTTTAAATATGCAAACAGGTTTATACAGGTTTATCTGCGAAAGGAGACATTGGTGATCAATGGGGTAATACTCTGAATATGCTGAAACTCAACATGTATCACAGCCGTGGTTTCACAGTGTTTTGGGACCGGGAAGGTATTTTGCTTCATTTGTCAATTCTATACACATCATCGGTATACAGCCGGACCCTTACGTCGTGGTGCAGCCCTATGAGCAAAATGGTAAAAGTGGAGAGAGTGAACACTGGTCTGTGAAAATGGCCAGAAAACAAAATAAATAATGAGAAACGGTCAAAATCTATTAAACAAGCAGCCTATCGGCTGAGATAGCTCCGCTGTTAGCAATGCACATTTCAATTAAAGAACTGAAGACATCATTAGAAAATGAACAATATGTATAGTATCAAAGCAATCGGACTTACAGTTTTTAACAAGAAGTCGAAAATATCACTTTCTACCAAAAATGACAAAAATATTCACCAAAATTAGAGAATTGAAGATATCATCACGAAAT